TATTTGATAATTGTAAGCGTTTTATTATAAAATTTTATTCGTAAAATTATTGAAAAATTTAAACTATTATTTTTTTTTTGCTCTTTCGCTATACGGTGTAACAAAGGTAGCAGAGTACTTTCCAAATCGAAAGTAATGGAACTTTTATGGTGATATTTTTTTTTCACTTAAGTTAAACAACATCCATCGTCATGGAGCACAGTAGATTTTTAAAGTTTTATCAATTACATAGAAGCCTACACTATTTATTAGATTTGGTAGTGGTTTTGCAACATTAACGCTAATAGCAATAGTAATCGATTTAATGTATTGCCAATAGTTATTTTGGATAATTGAAAATGAAATAAAAATTTCAATATTTTTATACCAAAAAGATTCTATTTATTTAGAATCACTTACGCGAATGCTTCTTTGAAAAGAAAATTAAAATGACCTTTTGAAACTGACTATTTAATATCTTAAATCATCATCTAATGTTGTTAGCCATTAGCGTTAGAAATTAGTTTCATTATTTAATTATTCACATTTACAGTAATAACGATACATGTACTTAATAAAAAATATGCTAATGCTATTATTAAATATCAATTCAATTTGGGGGTTACATATCGATAGAGTAATTACAACTTTATGAGAGTTTATACATGTATGGTCATAAAATCTAAAGTCATCAAACGTATTTTATGCGTTCACTTTTTCTGGACCAAAAGCGTAAGCCCTTTAAATCGTAGGCATTACGGTTATCAAAACAATTATCTCACTTTTCTGGTTCAAAGTGGCAAACCCTTCAAATCGTAGGCACCTCACTTTTCTGGATTAAAGTGGCAAACCCTTTTTACAACAATAGATTATTGGGATGGAGAAGGAAAAGGCACTAATTGTATGCAAGTAAATAATTATTTTTAAAGTTTTTTTTGCTTTATTGCCAATTCTCCTCTCTTTATTTGCTCTTCTCACTCTCATTATATACATGTTTGGTTTCCTATTTAAGATGTAATTTATGATGAAATTTACGGTGCAAATCACAGTGGAAATTACAGTGGAAATTACAGTGGAATTTACGGTGTAAATTAAGGTTTAATTTGAAGTGTAATCAGAATTGATTGACATAAATAAAGAAATAAAAAGGGAAAAAGAAAAAAACAATGTGTTTCTAAAAGAAGATTTAGTATTACCGGTGTAACAGTACATGTATAAAACTTTCTATCCCAAGAGCTATAATTAGATCTCACTGTTATTATCGTATACATGTAATATAAAATACATGTACGTATATCACTCTGTAAAATATGGAGGTACATATGATATTTTTTATTACTATATATTTTATATTAGCAAAAGAATATAAAAATTGGATTTTACTAATAATTTTTGTAATAAGTTTATTTTTTATTAATTATATTTAACAATTTATTAGAAAAATAATAAATAATAAAACTTAAAGAAAAGATCTGGCAAAAAAAAGACAAAGAGACTCAAGAGAAGGAAAGAGACTAATTAAATCTAATAATATCCAGAATCAACTGTTATTGATATTAAAGTAATAAAAAATAGAAAAAATAATAATAATTAAAGATAACTAATAAACTGTCATTTTTTATAAAGAAATAGAAACCAAAAAAAAAGAATGTTGATAATAAATAGAGAAATAATGAAGAACAATTTGACTTAATCTCACTTCTAAATATCTGGACAAAATTTCTTTTTTATCCAAAAATGACAAACTCTCTTTCTTATTCTCTTTGCTAACATTTCTATTCCCACCAACTTGATTTTACAATAACAACAATTTCAATTTAGCAGATTCTTAACTATTATATGTCTCTTATTAATTTTATTGGTATCATGAAATAGAGTAAATTAACTTTATTACTTTTATTAGAAAATAAGTAGAACTGGTGAAATAAAAATTCTTGGTAATTTTTGTAGTTTTACTAATTTTAATTTTTATTAAAGAACTTGAATCACATCTGAGATTATATATATAACTCATTTTTTGCATAGTGATAGTTGTTGAGAAACATTGTTATCTTCTCCAAAACATTTTATTTTTCAAAATGAGCATACGCTTGTTAAGAAGTCTTATAAACAGTAATTCAACTTATTCAAAAACTCTTTGGTTTCTAAACTGACCTGGTCTTTCTAGATCTTCTCTTATTTCAAGGAACGCAACCTGTTGCTATCACGAGTTCTTGAATCTTTACCGCGATAATATCGTCACTTCGCCTCTAGCTTCAAAAGAATGGAATATTCTTGAAGCTATCTGGAATAAACGTTTTTTGACTGTCGCAAATGAGCTTGATCCAGGCCATTTGAAAGAGGTACAGTTAAACTGTACTGGGTGTGATTGTATATATATTCAACTGTCTCGAGAGCCCTTGGTATATTGGACCAAGTAACACTGCAATGCTTCTTTAGTTGTGCAAGACATCGTTAGATAGTCAAGTTGTGACATAGAGTAAGCTGTTATTTCTTGGCATATTCGTCCTCGTGGACAGGCTTGACCTCGCAAGGAGATTTGCTATATACACTGGCTCGAGAGTATCAATTGTTGAGTAAAATTATTTGATTTAGGGAATATAGGAAGATGTTCGCTTGAATATAATCAGTGTCACTAGCGAAAATATAGGTGGTGGTGTCTGGATATGCCGAGAACGATTCCCAGACTTACTGGGAGGAAGTAATTGAAGAATGTAATTTGGTAAATAAGAAAGTTTATTTCGTTAATCTTTAATAAATAATAAATTTAATAATAATATCTAATATTAGTTTAGAAAGAAAAGTTTCATACACTTAAAGTTGATCGGAGGAGAGGCTTCTCGCAACATTAGCTTCCTCAATAAAGAGTTAGAAGCAGTCTCCATCAAGCTAAATGATCTTGATGGAAAATGATATTCTCCCGAAAATCAACAATCTGGACAACAGCGGCAACAACAGTGACGAGGCACCAACTACGGCAACTAACGGTAGCGGCGAAGCAACAACCAACGACGAGGCAGTACCAGCGGCAAATGTACGATACGACCTTCGTCACTGAAGCATTGTGCGTTTGTTCGTGAACGTACCGCCGTTACGGCTACCGTGGCAGTGGCAGTGGCAGAAGTTCGGTGCATTGAACGCGTAAGAAAACTGTGAAGACGGGATCCACAATATGAACACCAATGCCACCGACAATGTGGACACTGGCATCGAAAATACGGACATTAATGTGGTTGACAATGTGGACATTGGCAGTATCAAAACTACGATGGACATTGATGATAATAATTAAAATGACGTAATGTGTAAAGATTGTCATTAAATTGTTCGAATAACGATAATGATAATGATGTGCATTTAAATAAATTATAACTATTCCAACGAAAAGGGAAAAAATCAACATGCAATGAAAACAAAATCAATGATCAGTTATGTCGTCGTCGTCGTCGTCGTTGCTATCGTCATCTTTATCATCATCGTTATTTGTGCTCGAGAATCGATTTTGGGTTGTGAATCGATTCCTCAAATTAAAAAAACGATTAATCGGGTAATCGAAACTACGTTATGTGTGGAATTATAGTAAGATCCTGAACCAGTCCATTAATACACCATGATAACGATAACTTCGATGTGCTACATATACATGTAATAATGAACGAGTCTTGTATTAGTTTCACAAATACAATTAGCTTTAAATGATATAAAAATTAGATATATAGCTCGAAAATTTCTATTTTTTATATGGTTTATTATATAATCTTGGACCAGGCGTTACTGTCACAGATCGCTGACAAGTCAGCATCTGCATAATTTAACACTTTTTTATTATATTATTTAGCACATTCAGCAATTCCATAAAAACAATATACATGTAACGGTAATACTTTTTTCATCATAAAATATAACACAAACCAATTAATACGCAAATAATTTATCAGATAAATTAGCAGTTCGTTTAGCAAAACTAGTCCTCGCTGTAACAATCAAGCACTTGTAGACCAAGAACAAGAATGTATATAAAGAACGGCATCAGGCCACTAATAAAGGTAGAATTTACAATTATTCTCCAAGTAAATTAAGACTTGAGAAATCCTATATAGTAAACTTTAACATTTTTTTGATGGTTAGGTCCTTTGTTCCAGAAAAGGCATCGTATTGCTAAGTGAAATCGTTATTGTGTATTGAATAGGATCGATCAAAGTAATCAGACGTTAAGAGTTTAAGGCTTTTATCTAGAAAAAGCATTGTAACAGTTAATATTATGTTAATAACAAAACCAATTGCATAAATCATAAACCCCTAATTATCTCACCTAAACTCGAATTACCTGTAATCCTTGAAACTTGACACAGGCTTTAGAATTTATTAACTTGAATTTAGTCTATATTGCTCCCCGTCTATTGTTGAAGGTAAAAATCCCTAAACCGACTAAATAATTCAAACCTACAACAATACAGTAATAACGATAATGATAATAATACGGACCAATAAAAATATACAGATACTGACTAATTAGGTTGCAAATACATATTTTTCTACTATCGCTATTTATTAAACTGAAACCATTGTAGAACAATATTCTAAAGTATAAAAGCTTTTCAAAGACTCTCTGAAGGAAGCGTAGTCAAAATTTAATGTTAGTTTTACCGTAAGGAATCGACGTGATATTGAATCCATATAGAGGGTGGGTAATGTGTATAATTGATGGCGACTGTACATGTATTCATGTTTAATTCTCTTTTTACTCTTCTTCATTTCACGCACGTTGTGAGTGTACGTCGTGTTCCCCATATCATTTTTCATGCATAAATTGTTTACATACACAAGTGAACGACGACTTCCACACCACATATAAAAATAAAACATTGCCATAAACACTAATAAACTCAAAGATGGCATCTAATACTCATGATTGTAGTAAATGCTGGTATTGTCTATCAAATATCTACGGCAAAGCGTGTTCAGTTCACAATATTCACGCTCATGATTGTAGTCCACATTGTCGATGGCATTGGTGTTCGTATTGTGGATCCCAGCATCAAGGATCACAGTCCTCGCAGTGGTCTCACGCGTTCGACGCATTAGCTCTCCGTCACGGCCACTGCTTCCCATCCTTGGTAAATTGAAGCTTTTCAGCCATGCGTTCACCAGCCAGCATGCTGAAAGCTTCAGCAATAAATGATTGCCATTCGTCATTAGTTGCTGTGCCAAGATGTGTTGGCGTTATGCCTGACTGTGAAAGGATCTCCCAATTAATATAATGTGTGAGATATCGTAGACGTAATGCAACAAGGTGCATTTGATACTCTCACATTTTTTTTGCCTGCATCAAAGCACCTACCATCCTTTCAGTTATATACTTGTGAATAGCGGCACGTTAATTCTTGTGTCTCTTGATTGTTGATTGCGAGAGCGCAAGTGAGGCACATTCACAGTACATCTGACAATACCTGTACGATGCTGCCAATCATACAGCCTTGCCAACACTAACAACTGTATCTCCAGATACCAGTTCTTTCTCCAAGGCAGCAATACCTTCTTCAGCAGTTTTATCATTTACAATAGGGCTTATTGTTTTAAACAAATTGCCCGCAGCCTCATAAAAATCTTTTAACAGATATTGTTTTTCAATATTCTCCCACTCAGAAAACTTGAGGAATTTTACATTTTCCTCCATGTGGCTGATGATTTGATTACGTTTATCTCCATCGATAATATTGCTGAATATCAACTTGCATGACCGTTTAGTAACTGGAGTCGCACTAGGCCCGTTTACATCATCGATAGAACATTTGCTGTTGTTGCCTTGACCTTCTTGTCCACTGTACTCCTTATTATTATTGTTCACATCGTCGACCACATTAATATTAGTATTTTCAATGTCAGTGTCCACATTGTCGATGACATTGGTGTTCGCATTGTGGATCCCAGCACCGAGAATCACAATCCTTACAGTGGTCTCACGTGTTCGACGCATTAAATCTCTGTCACGGCCATCGCCATTGCCATTGTCACTACCACTGTCACTGTCACGACCGCGACAACTACGGTAATGGTGTTCACGATCAAAACGCACGACAGTGCTTCAGTGACGAAGGTGGTACCGTGCATTTGCCGTTGGTGCTGCTCCATCGTTGGTTGTCGTTGTTGGTGTCCCGTAATTATCGGTGCTGTTATTATTGCTGCTGCTATCATTGTGATTGCTGTTGTTGTTGCCGTTGTTACCGCTGTTGTTGTCATTGTCCGGATCATAGAAATTATCAGTAGACACAGAAGGTGACACATCAAGGATGTGTTCTGGAGGGATATTATTGAGAATGTAACATTTTTTATCAAGATTATTTAGCTTGATGGAGACTGCTAACTCATTATCGAGAAGCTAATGATGCGAGAAGCCTCTCCCGATCAACTTTAAGTGTATGAAGCTTTTCTTTCTAAAAATAATATTAGATATTATTATTAAATTTATTATTTAAGATTAACGAAATAAACTTTCTTATTTACCAAATTCAATTACTTCCTACTCCCAGTAAGACTGTAAATCGTTCTCGGCATATTCAGATACCACCACCTATAAAATATATTTTCGTTAGTGACACTGATTATATTCAAGCGAGCGTCTTCCTATATTCCCTAAATCAAATAATTTTACTCAACAATTGATACTCTCGAGCCAGTGTATATAGCAAATCTTCCGATGAGGTCAAATATGCCAAGAAATAACAGCTTACTCTACGCCAAGTCGGTAATTAGCCAAAGAAGCATCGCATTGTTACTTGGTCCAATATACTGCTGGCTCTCGAGACAGTTGAATATATTCAGTTCTCTATACAATTACACCCAATACAGTTTAACTGTACCTCTTTCAAATGGTCTGAATCAAGCTTATTGCGACAGCCGAAAAACGTTTATTCCAGATAGCTTCAAGAGTATTCCATTCTTTTGAAGCTAGAGGCGAAGTGACGATATTATCATGGTAAAGATTCAAGAACTCGTAATAATAACAGGTTGTGCATTCCTGAAAATAAGAGAGATCTAAAAAGACCGGTCAGTTTAGAAACCAAAGAGTTTTTGAATAAGTTAAATTACTGTTTACAAGACTTATCATTATAACAAGCATATGTTTCTGAGGTGCTCATTTTAAAAAATAATAGATTTTGTAAAGTTAATTGAAGGAATAATAACGATAAGTTTGCTATTTGTGTATCTTTATAGATGTGTTTGTTTTGATGTTTTGTTAGCATGACGCTAATTTGAGATATGTACGTGTAATACGTATATAGGTTAATGTCACCTTTGTTTCCCGTAATTTTTGTCATTTTCACGTAGTCATGAAACACTTCACGTATTGTAAAACTGATTATTTTTAATAAACTCAATAAACTTCAAGTGTTATTGTACTATTTAAAAATATAAATCATGGTATTGGCTTTAATAGCGTTTTTTATTTGTATGCACTGACCAATGACTTTTGTAAAAATTAGCAACAGTGAGAAATACGTTTAAATGTTAAAACTGTATTTTTATTACATGTACTATATATTTTGACATTAGCTTAAGAATACAGAGATTGGACTTTGCTAATAATTCTTGTAAAAAGTTAAAAAAATCTAGTACAGATATATTGAGAAACATAAAATTTATTTCTGTAATACATCCAATTATTATTTTTTTTTGTATCTCTTGTTCCCGCGCGCCTCTTTCTAACATATTTATAGACAATAGAAAATCATATAAGACGTGTACCAAATGCAGGATCACGAAAGTTGAAAAAAGAAGTGTTTTACTAAGTATGCTTGCCGAAATTTCAAATAATTTGGGATCCTGCTGCAAAATTCAATGTCATATTTTGCCTTGGGATTCGGCTGCTAATTCAACGTTTCAATGCTGCATTTCATCACAGAATTTGTCACTGTGTGCTTGGGATTTTGTTGCAAAATTCAATGTTGTATTTCACCAGAATTTGACATTGTTTTTCATTTTGATTTTGCCTTTTTTGAGTCTTGCCATTTTGGTGACTGTTTGATATAAGAAAGAAACTATATGTAACTATAAATAGCAATATCGCATCCCAATTGACAATTGGAGTAATTCCAAATAACGATTGTAATCTGGACACACTAAATAATGTCACCATCCCGATTGCTGATCGGACAATTGTGTGTATGTAAAATATTCCCATTATTAATTTCTAAATCTAATTGGGTTTCTATTATCTTTTACGCGTGTCTTTACAAAGGTCGATTATTGTTATTAATCTTCTAAACAATGCCTTTTCTGGATCAAGGTCCTCATTTAATTCAATCAATTATTATGAAGGAATTTTACATGTCTTATTTTACTTGGAGAACAATTGTGCGCAACAATTTTAATTTTTACTGAGACCCATAGATCTTTCTTATATACATTTTTTAGAGTTTTACTTAATAATATTACTTTTTATGACTACGATCAAGATTAAACAAAAAGAAAATAAAATAAAATTCAGAGAAAACACAGAAGATTAAAAGCATTGTTTAAGAGAGAATTAAGGATTTTGTTTAAGTGAGAGATCGTGACAATTAAAAAGAAAATGCAAAGGTAATGTTTAGGAGAGAACACGTGATACTAATAAAAAGAAAATAAAATGATTAATCAATCAAGTGATTAATCATCACTTTTAAACTAACGAAACTACAGTATATAAGAAACACCCAACATTAAACAAGTAATAACTGTCGAACACCATAAGACTGATTCCAACTAATAATTAATTACCTTTTTTTCTTACCATTAAGTCTTAACACTCACCCCTTTTCCCATTACAACTTTGTTATCATTAACGTGATCAATCACCGGTCAGTGCTTTATAAGGTTAGGATAAGGATTAAATTAGTCTTTCAAGCCAGGTTTATTTTTTTAATTTTCTTGTTGATCAACAAAATTTGCGCATCCTCATTGAATGAATTACCTGAAGATACAACGCTTTAACGTTAGCGCATCCCCATTTTTGGCTTACATGTGATTGATCATGTGACTGGATTTGTATTTAAGAGCATTTTTTCATACATCAGCGAAAACAATGTCATCTTCATCCTCTTCACATACTGTAAATGACATGCTGAAATACGCTAAATTAGAAAAACAATTTTTTTTTGATTTTGATAAGTTTTCTGAAAAAGAAGTAATCAGTAATGGAGCGTTCAGTGAAATCTATAAAGCCGAGTTAAAAGACGAAGATATGACTATTGCTTTAAAATATCTTTACATAAAAGATAAAAAAATTAGCAAACAATTTATTGAAGAGGTATCGTTCATATATTTAAGGGTTGAAATAAATACACTTATGACTTGCTAGTATTAATCATTCTTCATTCTATACTTGAAAATTCTTATTCAAATTAATTATCATAAAAATATTGTTAGTTTTTACGGAATTATCCAGGTAAAATATATTATTTTTATCTTTTATTAAAGTTTATTTAATAAAAATATTCTTTAGATTCGATTCTGAGAGATGCATCTTGTTTCGAAATACGCTAATGACAGAACCCTGATGGAATATTTAAACATTAATTTCAATAAAATGAGTGGCAATAATAAATTGAGTTTTGCCAAACAACGTGTACATTATGCAGGCATAATTCATCGAGCTTGGATAATTTTTATAGATTTTCAGTATAGCGAGTCTTAATTTAATTTTATAAATACTAAAGCTAATTTTGAACTTTTCATATTAATAGAATTACAATAATATACTTGTTCATAAAGGAAATTATAATTTCAGATTTAGTATATTCAAAGCTTTCAAATAACTCGAAAATGGATTTGAGCATAATAGGTTATATCGATTCTGCATTTCTAAGCGATACGTCCAACTTTGACAGGGTGATAAATCTGATATTTTCAGTCTTGGTGTGCTCCTTTGGGTTATTTTCAGCAGTCATCCTCCCATTTATCAACATGAGTGTACTTTTTGTTCTTTATCAGAAAAAGAAAAAAGAATCTTTAAAATGCCACATAAATACATTAAGCTTTATCAAGTATACTGGAATGATGTGCCAACAAATCATCCAGATATCTATAAAATAAACAAACAACTTAAAGAAATAGAATGGTCAACCATTTCACTTACTTTAGCTTCAGAAAAATCAGATGATTTAGCTGTTAAAAACTATTCAGATGCTATTACTCTGGATATTAATTTGGTCACCGAAGATGATGAAAAAAAATAATTTGGTAAAACAAAATCAAATTAAATAGGTCAAATGATTATTATAAAATTATTGATGAATTAGTAACTCTTAAATAATTTTATTCAGCAAAGAGGAAGATTTAGATAACATAGGTACTAAATTACAATCATATTATAACTTATATAATTAGAATTCCTTTGACATTTAGAACTATTTGAAAACTAATACTCAATATAAGCTACTTTTAGGGATTCTTTTTCAAGCTGAATTCATAGTTGAAAAGAATGTTGTATTAGCATTGATCATTTATGCAAAGTTATTAAGTGACAACAATTCTTTAGCTCAATTCTTGCTAGAATATTATTTTCATGGAATTAGAAACAATAAAAAAAGCATTCAAATAATATTTGAAGTTAACAGAGGGAGAAAATGCAAAAGGACAATCTAGTCTTGGTTTTTATTATAAAAATAAAATCAGAACACAAAAAGATGAGATTGGAAGCATGAAAAAACAATGTAGACTTGCTAAAGGAATTGAAATTCAAAAAGAGAAGAATAAAGTTTTAAAGTGAAGAGAGCATTATATTCTCAATTTTTTTTATAGAAAAAGAAATGAAAAAGATAAATACAACTGAGATAAAGCAATTTTTAGCAAAATATTATATTATTTTTTGATAAAGAATTAAAGCACAAAAAGATAAAGCTCTTCAAGTAATATTTGAATTAACAGTGAATTGAACTAGTTTTGGTTGGTATTATATATTTGATACTAGAACTCCAAAAAATTGAAAAATTGAAAAGTGGTTTGCATTACAACTAAAAATGGTTTTAAATTTTCACTATTCATAATGATTTTTTTATTTACCATTATTATTTCCTTTTATGTATTCTATTATTTGTAATCTTCAAATTTTGATAGTATTATTTTTATTAATTATAAAATTTTTTATATAAGAGAATTAATACATATATTTTCTATTTTTATCTTTATATTTATTTCTGAAAATAAATGAAAAAGTCTGTCTGTAAAAGATATTTAAATATCTATTTTTTACATGTATTTTGTAGATATATTAACATATAATTAAGTATTTTATAATAGTAACATAAAAATCACAAATTCAAAAATAATTGAAAAACATAAAAATTCCAAAAATATTCATATAATGATAAAATTTCCTAGTATTATTTCACTTTTAGTTATTTCACTTTTTAATTTTTCACTTTTTATTTTTTTATTTTTTCAAAATTTTACTTTTTACTTTTATAATTAGTTATTTTACTTTTATATATTTTTATAATTATTTATTTCACTTTTTGTAATTTTGAAAAATGTATAAATAAAGGTGTTGTCTGAGTCTTAACTCAACATATTATAACTGAAAATAAAAATCTTTCTTAGCAAAAATCTTCCTCCAAATACTTTCCACCTCTTATATTTTTTTATACACTTCAAATCTTGTGCATAAGTGGTCTTATATCATATTGAACCTATCAAATCGCTGACAGCTTTATATCATATTGCGTCGAACAAATTGCTGTTATTGATTTTGGACTTTATATTATATTGTGCCAAACAGATTGCTATTATGAGATTATTGAGCTTTATATCGTATTGTACTGAACAAATTGCTGTATTGAAAATTATTGAAATTGAATTTATAAGTATTTTTACTTTTTGTTATTTGAATTTTTAATTGTTAATGAATATTTCTTATTCATGAGAAGAACAAAGTGAAAGAATCTTTGTTATTATTATTACTAATTATATTATCTTAGTTTTAGAAAGCTTTACGTAAGTATAGAATTACTCTTTGAATTCCCTTTATTATTCCTTTATTCACTCTCTCCCTTGATCTTTACTCTTTCATAACTCTCTCATATTATTATTTCTTTTCAAGTAAACACAATTTCTGTAGAAATTGGCATAGATCTTAGATACCTCTCTTCTCTCTTAATATTTTCTTTATCAGTTTATATTCTCTCCCAATCCAAATTCTTATTTGTAAGCTAATTTAATGATTAGTGAACAAACTTGTAACAATATATAGATAATATTTTCACATTTTCAGAGATTTATAAAATTTCTTGAAAAATAGTATTAGATATTGAATTTTTGAATTTTAAAGCTGATTAATGAAAATTATTTATTATAATTTTTGCAATATTAATAATTTGGAATCTTTTATCTAGTAAGAATTAGCTAATATTAGCTAACTTTACACATGCTTGTCAACTATTATATTGTTAAATAATTTTAAAAGATATTATTGAAGCAATATATTTACATTTTTTCATCTTAAATAAATTAATTAAAAATCATTATAAGTCATATTATATTATAATAAATATGTATTTGATATTCTATATTAAGAAATATTGCTATAATTATAAATCTATATACATATTTTGATAGTTTTCTTATAAGAAAATAAATGATATTTTAGATAATATAACACTTTGTATATCTAAAAGTTTTATAAATATTTATAAAATAATGATAATTTTTTTTAATACTTAGGTAAATATCCAAATAGTCAAAAATAAATAAAACCAGAACTTATATGATATTTAATGCAGTATAATCAAATTAATAATATAATTTTATGATAATAATTTTCTGATAAATTTTATCCTTACAAAAAAGTTTCAAGATAAAATTTTATCATTACTTAATAGTATTAATTTATTGCTAGATAAAGCCAATTAATTAGTATTATATTATAGAAATATTTATAAAGATTTCTATAAAGCACACTTTAAAAAATTGAAAATTAATAATATTTATATTTCATATAAAATTACTAAATATAGAAAGTGCAAAGTTAATAATGATATAATTAGTTCAAACATATTAGAATATCATGAATTAACTTTATATATTCATGTTAAATTATTTTAATGATATAATTTTGATATATATGTTGATCAAATACAATTTTTTTTGAGCATAATATTAAAATCAATATGAATAATAATTTTGAAGAGAAAATATATTATTTGTGTTATATTTAGTAATTTAATTCATCAAATAATTACTTTCATTTTTCTTCTGAAAATAATTCAAAGTTATATAATATAAAGATTTGGAAAGTAATTGTATATTATCAATATATAAAATATTATCATAATTTATTTTAGCATTAGTAACAATTGAAAAAAGAAATTAATTACAATTATATCATTAAATAAATTTTTTATTAAATAAAAATAATACAACTATTTATTATATAATTATAAATATCTTAATAATATAGTAATAGTAAATTTCTTAATATAAAAATTATAAACTTTTAATTATTAAAATTATTATGAAATAATTGTATTAGAAAACTTCAAATATCCAAATAGTCTAAAGAAAAAAATGATAGTAAATTCATTTAAATTCATTATAATAGAGTTTTTTAAACAAACTTATAATATTTTGAGAAAAGGTATTTATATAACACTTTAGATATCAAAAATTTTTACAAAAAATCTATATATCTTCTTATAACACTTTATATTTATTTAAATAATATTTTAATTATACTCAAAAAGTGTAAAAATGCTATCAAAAAATTAATGAATTCCAATAATTATTTTAGTACATTTTGTGTATCTTACAGAATGTTATTGAAATATTATAGAAAGTTGCAAAAAATTTTTATGTTGTTGTTATACTGTAAATAATATTAATAGTACTTTCAAAATTTTTATTTTTAAATTGTAAATATAAAATCAATATATGACAGAATATTAGAAAGAATACCTGGAGTGAGAAGTAAATTTATCCTCTCAGAATGTTATTGAAATATTCTAAAAAGGTACCTGGAGTTAGCCAAAAATCTGTTTACAGTTCAAAAATTAAAAATTGTTAAATTCCACATTCATTAACACTCTGAATACTCCAGAAAGTTAAAAAAAATGCCATTTTTACTGGTGTTATGATCTCTAATTCTAGTAGTTTTTTTTATATAATTACTTAATCTTTTAATTAAAAAAATTAACTATTAATTAACTAATATACTTATCAAATATATATTAATTTGCAAAGCAAAATAACTAGCTTACAACTTGATCAATTCAATCACAAAATTAATTATCTATTTATAAAGAATAAACAAACAAATATATAAATATTGAATACATAATTGATTAACAAATTTATTATTGAATATAGTTCAATAAGCTATATTATTAAACTGGACTGGATCTAATTCCAGTTTCAATTCATTCCAGTTTAATAATTTGTTAAGATTGAACTAAGTCCAGTAACAATACTCATTATATACTTAAAAAGTTATAACCACATAAAACAATAACAATATTGTAAATATCTTCAAGGATTGGATCTCATTGAATAGGCTTTAATACTTCATGATTGTTACGCGTGCATTGCATGCATACACAATTATTAAATATGATCGTTATTTTATTTTTTTCGATACACATTCCACATATAGAAGAACTTTATTTTTCCAACGTTATACATGATTTTTACATTATTTTTCATTAAATCATACATGGGATTCAGTTTTATTTTGATTATCGTTTTTGTAAGATCGAATTGGAGAACTATCAGGATCACTACCTTTATTTGTACCTTGAATACCGATTTTGTGTTTATCTTTACTTGGAGTAAATGGGTATGCTGGGAGACTTCCGGAAAGTTTGGACGATTCAAACAAATTATCATTATTTTCATCCTGCAGTTGAAGTATTATATTGAAAGTTTCCAACAATCCACACTGTGTATCAAAGAAACTGGTAAGTTAATGGCAAAGTATTGCAGAATAAATCATCAGTCAAAGATAACATATACCTTGAAATCCCAAAGGAGGACAACAAAATCAAAAATATGCTTACGATGTCCTTCATAACAAATTGGTACAATTGACTTATGTGATCGTTCGTATTGCAAAACACCGCAGGCTGGATTATGCATTTGCCATAACTCAATCCGATCCTCTATGAAAAGCAGAAGTTAAAATAAAAATTATTGAAAAAATAAGAAAAAACAAATACTTACCATAGGTGTGCAACGACCAAACTCTTAACTTTGAAAAAGTTTCAGGAGAACCACCCCGAAACTGCTCACCAATTTCTTCTAACATAAAAGAGTTCCCAATCGGTAGCTTACAACAACCATCCCACGTAGAACGAGGGATATCTTTATGTCCGTGTCCCCCACTCATTTCCAAATGGCCTACTTCAATCAATGCTTTTTTTAATTTCACAAAGAAGATTCCATCAGATTTCTGTTCATAAGAATTGATAGATTTTCGTCGACTTCTGCAAGACTTGACCGACGATAAAACAGCTTCTCCCCTTAATAAAAGGCATCAATATACAGTATTTATTGAAACATCAAGCATCACTTTAAATAAAAGCTACTTACATGTGATAATGTAGACAATCTTCTAAGTCGACATGTATTTTTTTTAAACAAGGATGTATCACATAACCTCCATAATTTGCCTCTGATACACCTGGCTGTTGTATAATAGAATCGTCTATAAAAACATATTTATGACTACAGAGGTTTTAATGAATAAGACCATTATCGATATTTTTAAAAGCAAAAACGGGCAATACTCACAATAGAGATAAAATTTTCATGAAAAAAGTAGTGAATGAGTCTTCAAAATACGGTGTTGAACACGTTATCTTGATATTTTCCGAAAAAAGCGCTTTTTCTTCATCTGAGTACCGACTAGTAATTTCTTCCAGGAAGTAAGTATCTGTATTTAATTTGTCTCTTTTAAACTTTTTTATTTCGAATCCCAAAGATTCTAATGATTTCTGCTGTAAACAATTTATAAAATTTACAATATTTAGAAAGGAAGCAAGAATAAAGCAAGTAACAATAATAACTAGTAAAAGTGAAAAAATATACTCTTTTCAAAAGTTCCATAATGTGCTTTGGAGGACTTGTAAGGCTTGGGCGTCTCGTAAAACTTTGGATCTCGGCATACTCTTTGTCATTGCACCATTTTGGTTTTGCTATCTTAAATCCACAACGAATAATACTCCAAACTTCTGGCCTGAGAGTTCAAATAATTAACATTATCATGCAGATGCATGGCAAATAATAAATAATCGTTTACAATTTACCTCAGAGGATGCCCTTTAATTCTTGATGCTTTCTTCAACAAGTCAACAACTACTGAACCAGACCTTAAAGTCCAACTCTTCCAAGAGTTATGGTCAAAAGAGCGTTCAAAATAAGGAATCGCGGCTTCATCAGTTTCTTGAACTGCTAATTCCGGATCAATTTCTACGCCTTCTTCATAGTTTGGAATTCCTCCAACAAAGACCGCGAGCTGACTGGATTCTGAAAACTGATAGAAAAATTTTAAGAATTACAATGATAAAACATCTTCCTTCTCTGTTTCCTACCTTAGATGACCCAATAAGAGTGTTCATTAGGCTGTGGTCTTCACGTGGTGGTGGTGTGGTACATCTGTTCTGACGCTTTTTTAAAATTCGATTTTCCTCATAATTTTCAGAATCTCGTCTTTTTCCTAAGGCACTCTCAACACCATTAAGCTCTTCATTGTATTTGAGCTGATAGAATATGTCAATTTAATCTAAACGTGTGAAACAGAAAAATAATAATTTCAATTCCATACTATTGTGTCATTAACGTTCTTGATGGAGGAATTGACACTTGCAGCGGAAGTTTTGAAGACTTCAGTAGTATTTTGTATAATCGAGCTAGAGGCCTCAAACTGCAGTCGAAAAAAAATCATGAGCCAGAGTTTAGCCAGGCCCAGAAAATTTGTTAAATAACAACCTCAGCACGGCGTCTCTCAATTTGATTCCAGAACCTGCTAACGCCTTCAAAGTATTTACGATGTCCCTATAGCTCACACTCCATAGAATTAGTAAACCGTTTCAGAACACATGAGGAAAGCATTGCTGGAGACAACCACAACGGACACGCAGACCATTAGGTGGACAACACGCAGATGCCACCCTTAGTTGTGTGGGTTCCTTCCTGCAAGAGAGGTCATTACAACCCAACATGCAGTACTATAGACAAAACATTAGATGAGCCAGCGCGCAGTATAGCCATTAAAGTCTTGTTCAGCCTCCCTCTGCCAACCAGCAATGCAAAAAACAACGATAGAAAACTGAAGAGACTTTACCCTACGAATTTTTTCCAATCGACTGGCGCCTTTCTTCATTTCGTTCGAGCCATCCTTTATCAAGTTAACGAGTTCTTTTTTTAGTTTGTGCGACTCCTTCTGAAAAGAGGAAATAAAGTCTGCCTGTTTCGACCGGTGCTCGTAAAAGCCTAGGAAGCTATAATCTTCTGGAGGTGTTACATCAAAGTAGGTACTCCATGTAGCTTTTTCTTCGGTAATAGACATGGTAAGGTCAATTTATAATTATCCAAATCTGTAACACATTCAATTTTTCGGTGACTCAGCTGGTACAATTTTCTAAAAAAGGAAATTATAAATTATATACAACATATTTTTCTATCGCGAGGCTTGATGAAATCGAACGAGTCCTTTCAAACCTATCATAACAATTTTGGTAGAATCGCAACTGAATTCGAATCAATTAATGAATCTATCGCGACGCTCCAAAATAAAATTAATCAATCTGAAGCTTCTAATTCTCAAAGATCTTCCCATTCTTCTGCAAGCTCTTCTGGTAAGATAATAAAGCTGGAATTTCTGATTGTAATTGATAATTTAACTAACTTGATTTTTTTCGATTACAGATTCAGACCGAGTACCCTTTACAGACATTGTTTTAACTATCTGAACCTGCTTTAAAATTTTTGATAGGATCAAATCTTTTATGTCAGTTCCCATTCCATTCCACCAATATAATATAGCTATTTGTTGGTAAGTTCCATTATATTCAAAGTGTCCAGATAATGGGTCTTCATGCATTCCTTTTACCACTGCTTCTATTTCTGTTTCTTTTAGTACTCGAAGTGGGTTATTAGCATCTTTTTGTCGATTAATTTTATAAAGTAGACCATTTTGTATGACAAAATGTTTAGATTGTTGTTGAAGTTATTTCTTTTGTTGTTCAGTAAGAGTTGAGTTATAAGTTCTGTTGTCCAAAAATTGAAGTAGGTTGTAATAAGTTGTTAAATCCATTTTTATAGTTGATTGTTTAAGTGTTTTTAATGATCAGTAGAGTTAATTCGGAATAGAGCATCAGCATTTTGATTTATTCGTCCAGGTCGGTAACTAATTATGAAGTTGTATTTCATCATCATTGTAATCTATCGGAAAATTCTTGGTGTTGGATTTGTCTGTTTAGTAAAAAGCCATCGTAGTGCATTATGATCAGTTATTATTTCAAAGATTATTCCAAGCAAGTAGTGTCTGAATTGACAAACAGCCCAAACTACTGCTAAGAATTCTTTTTCAGTTGTGCTATATCGAGTTTCAGCAGGTTTAAGAGAAACACTTGAGTAAGCAATTACTCGTTCTCGAT